CCCTAGGTCCTGCCCTCCTCTTGCTGTCCTCATGGCGTCCAGCGTCCCATATACAGAAATTTCACAGAAAATAGAATGTCGAAAATAGAATGTCTGAGTAACAATGAAGATTGTGGGGCCTGCCAGCATTGATTGCCTAACAACCCACGGGGTTGACTGAGCATGCCAAACAGAGGTTAAGAAAAGGGGCCAAGAAGCTCAGGGAAAACAGTCTGACACCACAGTGCTGGAAACCGGGTCCAGCGTCCCATGACCGGAGTATAACATCTCTGCCTACCCTTTTTTTGCCGACAATCTCTTTTTTGGAAGCAGCACCTGCTGGAAACCGGGTCCAGCGTCCCTCACATAAAAAGCGTCCCTTTTCTATTCCGGTCTCATCAAGATGACCATAGCCCGTTCTGTTAAAATGCAACCCCCCGAAAACCAGCATCCAAAACATAGCCTCAAGGCGTAGTTATTTCTACTAGGGATAACGGGTGTGGGGGGAAGGGGTCCGGGAATTCGGAAGCGGCCTCATTGGGAAGCTCGGGTCGATGTCAGTCCATTCTTTAAATTTCAGGCAGTAACCCCTTCTTACCATCTCTCCCTCCCCCTGAGGGCCTTCGTTTGCGTCCCCAGACCATTTCACCTGCGCAATCCAGCCTTCCCTTTCCCCGCCCAACCATTCTTGGCAGAATTTAGTGATGCTTTCTTTAATATCCTTTGGTTGCTGAAGGAGGTCTAGCTTGCGTTTTACTGTCTGCCATCTATCAGTTATGTCCAACTGGAGATGGTTTTTGATATGCTCGCGCACCTCCTCCCCCTCCAATCGCACTTCTTCCATTGTCRKAACACATCTTTGCCACCACAGCGTCCATAAGATTGTTCGTCTCCCCAGGTCAAACATATTATTCGCAAACTCCTCTTCGGGCCGTCCTGGCCAAAAGCCTGTGAGGATGGCCCGCCAGTCCCATGGCCAGAGGGATCCAGGGACTATGTGCTGCCAGACCCGGTCCCACCAGCGCCAGGTGAGGGCCGCATTCAGGCACTGTAGAAAGATGTGCTCAATAGTTTCGGCTGCTTTTTTGGCCGGGTAACCTCGGAGGCATTTGCTGCACCAGGGGAGAGCGCGACCCTGTTGTTCCAGCCTAGTGTGGTCAATCAACCAGTTATTGGTAGGTAGGCACCTATGGGCTATCTGCCATTGCAGGGAGGTGATTTTGGTCGGCCTCCTCTTGCTTTCCTGGAACCATCTGATTGGAGCTAGCAGATGTCTGTCAACGTTTAGGTGTTTGTACCAACGCTCATTCACTGTGTCTTTTAGATTCCATCTTGGCCTGATCATCCTATATGTGGTTTTAACAGAGAGGTTTTCAAGTGTTGTGTCTTTGTGGATACCTCCTCGTGTCGGGCCAGCCGGTTTCCATCTCCACTCAATTGGGACTAGGCCCAGTTCTGTGATCGGGGTTCCAGGTTTATATACCCAGCGGTTTTCACCTTCCCCCATCACTCTCATCCGGTCAACTTTTTCCTTGTCTGTCCAGACAAAGGGGGCTGTGCTGCCGCTTAGTCTGTTCCCCTTCGTTATAGTATAAAACTCGATCAATACCTCCGTGGGGCTGACCAGGTGGACCATCCCAACCCTGCCAAGGTCTCCTTTCTGCATCACCCAGTCTCCTTCCCTGTAAACCAGGCCCGCTCTTAGAATATTATACCATTGGAGAGGAAGGGTTTCTATTATTCCGTCCAGAGCCTCCTGCACATGATGGCAATAGCGCAGTTTTTCTTTCATTTGTTCTACATTCCTCCATGTTCTCGTTCTGACGTCCCATAGGTCCCCCACCTTCCATATCCCATGTTTGATCCATCCATTCAATGGAGGGATGGAGCTGCAACCATTTCTCGATTTATGCCTGTCATCCTTGCGCAGGGGACACTCTGTATCCCGAAAAGGACCATTTCTCGATTTATGCCTGTCATCCTTGTGCAGGGGACACTCTGTATCGTTCCAATTTTAATGGATGTCCTGAAGGACTCACCTTCAACATGAATGCATCATACCAAAATGAGCACGTGTATAAATCTACACGGATTCTACAGCATCCATGTTTCAAAATCAAACAAACAAAAAAAAAGGTTGCACAGGAAGGTAAGTTCAACGCTGGACCCGTTTTCCAGCAGGTGATGCYCCCCACTAATAGATGGAGCCGCCCCCCAAGGTGCAAGCGGTGTCTGCTCTTATCAGCATCACTAACACTGAGGGGGCCATTTTATTTAAAAAAAAAAAAAAAAAAAAAGTTCCTGTACGAACATTTTATTCCAATACGATGTACACTCTGCTCAGATAAAGCAGACGTACGTTATAACTTATAATAACTTCGTATTCGAATACGGTGCACATACGTTATACTTGATGGGAGATGATATTTGACGGTGTGTTATATTTGAATTTCTGTCACCACGTTCTGGGAGAAGTCTGGTGTAGCCGAGTAGCTCAGTGGGTAGAGCACCGGTTGGAAATGCGCATTGTGGTATGAGGTTGCGGGCTCAAAACTCAATTGCAGCCTCGTGCATTTCCGCCGGCGGGCCAACGTGCGTGAGGCTGTACGCACTGTCCTCTGGGTGCTGCACGGCTATGAATACAGACCCTTCCTGCATCACTCAGGGAACTTAGTCCAGGTTGTTGTATGCTGGGTCTTGACTATGCGTCGGTTGCTTGACGTGGTCATTGACGGTTCTGATATTCTTCCCTGTTCTGGCATATCATACATTGGCATCAATTCACAGTGTAGCACATATGGTAGGGCGCACTGCTGTTACATAACAAAGGGCATGGGTTCGAGTCTGGCTAGAGACTTTGGGGGGGTTCTTGCACAGATAGGCCCGCCATTCACATGACAGTACAACTCTATGCATGCGGAACTCATCTGGGGCTTGGTGGGGATCCACACTACAACTGGGGCTGGTAGGAGCAGCCTTCTTTTTTTTTTTTTTTTTTTTTTTTTTTAAACAAAACACAACCTCCATCTATTGGTGGGGCAGCCTTAGTATCTGGAACCATGGAATATACACATACACGACTGGGGCGGGCAAGGGTTCTCAAGGCTTCGCGCTTGTCCTTGCCTGGTCTTCGTATCTAGAACCATGGACACATAGACAGAACACAGATAGCACATACACACGACTGCGGCTGGCTGGGGCTTTCGGTCTCTGACATCTGTAGAAAGGAAAGAAATGCCCGAGTAAGACACATAGATGACACACAAATAACTTAATAACATGCCAGAATCGGGGTTGGTAGGTGAAGGAGACATAATGCTTGTCAATGAGCCTGGTGCCCGATGCCTCTTTTTTTTTTTTTTGTTTTTTTTTTTGTTTTGGACATGCTCCAATCTATTCGTGGGGAGCAACACGTGTGCCCTATACCTCAACTGGGGCTGGGTGGGGCTTTCAAAGCTTCGCGCTTGGCCCCACCTGGCCCCGGTGCCTAGAACTACTGTCTGGTCCAAGTCGCCCTCTGAAATAGCATGCTGATAATCCTCAGTAGTCAATACTGAGGTAGGATAGTACGATAGGGGTGCGGTAGGAGAATTGCCGAGAGGATGGGTAGGGAGGTGGTCTTACAGAGCATAAGGGAGTGTCAGGACTGCCAATAGCTGTGGCAGTAACCCCGTGTGTCCGGAGTCTGGCTTCTACAACAACCTGGGCTTTTCAGAGGAGCAGGCCGGGGGAAGCGTACATTATATTCAACGGACGACGGTAGTGGTTATGGGTTCTTCGTTCACCACAGCGTATTGCAGGTTCGGTTCCCGGAGTGAGAGATTTCAGTTGACTTCACGGATTTGGACTGTGACTGCAGGTTCATTTCGTGGAGTTGAGATTTCAGTTGACTTCCGCGATTTGGACTGCAGGGCTCATCGCTTTTTTTTTTTTTTTTTTT